AGACCGTACATTGAGGGAAAAGAGACCATCATGCATTCTCCTGTGGATGATCTGAAGCAAGTTGCCTTAACTCTATATTACTTGAGCGACGAAGCATACTTTTTCTTGACTTTTTCAGTAGATTTAGACATTTTTTCGATAATCTACGAGCTTCGACTGTTTACTCCTCGCAATAGCTGTGGCGCGAAAGAAATGGTGCCTAAATTGCAATTATGCGCATGCTCATTTCAGGATTCTCTCCGGTAAAGAACTGGGCTCTAGAGCAAATCAGAAAATTTCCAGATACAATCAGATACGTGTGAACAGCTGAAAATGATTCGAATATGCTGCGTGTGGACGCAAAAATTTTTGCATCCGCAAAAAAATATTTGGGGACAAAAAAATTTCTGGATACGTCTGGACATGGCCTTAAACAGGGAAATTACTACTTAGTAGTGTTAGAGCTTGAGCTGAATGCATGAGGGCTTTCCTAAATACTGCCTTTTCTTTGTAAGTCCGTATTTACCGAGGAGCATTTCCTTTCTTTCAATTTTCTCTCCTCTTGTAGGTTTTGAGGTATGACCATTTTCTCACTCGAAAGAAAAGGTAAACAAAAAGTTAAAGAAGCACATTGTTGTCATCAGATTAAAGTGTTGCTGAAAATGGCCAGGTTTGAGTAGTGTATCAACTGATCTAGAAGTTCAGTGTGAAAGCATCGAGTGCTGCACCAAAATCTGCCTTGGTTTAAAAGGTCGGATTGAAACTTTCTTCTAGCAAAAGAAATTAAATGTTGAATATTCCATAAGAGAAAGGCCGCCTCTGGAAAGAGACAGAGACAGAGACATTAAATTGGGGTGAGACATTTTAGCAGGTGCTGTTTTCATGCTTGTTAACCTCTGATTTAAAACTAACAATACCATTGGAAACTTTTCACTGTTACATGGCTAAAGTCGATCCCTTACTTACTTACACACAACCAGCAATGTAACCGATTATGTCTTTTTTTGACAGGTGCAAGGGATGGCTTGTTGGACGTCAGTGTGGCATATTCTTCTTTTATTCTCAACACTTCAACCACAGATCTGTGTCAAAACGAATATATGGAATCCATTATCTGGCTTCTCATCATTTGTGAAAGAAGGGTATCCAAAGAATTTAATGGTGTAGAATGACACAGTTCAGTCCACCACAATATCATTTCTTCCTCTTGTTGATGTTGGTTAATGTGTTGGGCGACATGTTGATGCCTCTTAACTGAACTGACAAGGTCATCCCATGAGAAGGTGATCGACCAAACTTTATTACAAGCGAACTGAAAACATGATACAACTTTTTCTTCTCGCTCTAGTTCGAATTTGAGGTTTTTTACCTGCAACTGGGCACAAATGAATCTTGAGCCCTCTAGTACTGGCTGTTTCAGCACTTGTGGAAGATATTTTTTCAAGGGAGGTTACTAAACTTGGTACGCACTTTTCAGTGAAAAAACTTATCACAACCGAGGGAAGACGACAATGCCCTGGTTTTCTCCTGATATTCAGACAATTTGGCTATTCCTCTGTTTTTAGGTGTCTTTTCCGTTGCAAGATTGTTTGTGTTTCTTTAACCAAGCTCTTAGATGGTATGGCTTTTTGCACTTGCCACATTTTAACTTAAGGTCATACTTTCGTCATCATTGCGATCACTTTTATCTTCATTACATTCTTCTTCCGCCTGGACTGCAATCTCGTTAAATAAGCATAAAACTGGACGCTTAGTAACAGAAAAGTACCCACAGATTTTTATTCAAAAAATTCAATTTGTGTGTTTGGTTTAAATAGGTGGAGCTTTGGTGTGGTCTTATAGGAAATCATACGAGATAATATTTCCTTCATCGTTGCTATCACTTGTCTTCACTACATTTTCCATCTGCCTGTACTGCAATCTTGCTAAATAAACATAAACCTGGACGCTTAGCAGGGAAAAATACCCATAGGTTTTTATTTTTCTAAAAATCAATTTGTGTTTGGTTTAAATAGGGGGAGCTTTGGTGTGGTCCTATACAAGATCTTAAAAACCGGTAAGTTAAAGGGGCTAAGTCACACTTCCTCTAGTATTGGTTTTCCAATCAATTGAATTCCAGAAATCAAGGTCCAGTTTTCAGATGTTTAAGACTATATTTAGGTATTGAAACGGTTTCTTGTTGTGTGTTAGAAAGTGGGTTGGCAAGGATGGAAGTGGATTGAATCTTGAAAAAGTTGGGTTAACCCAGTTTTAATGATATGCCTGCAAAATAATGTGGCTAGTACTCCCTGATAAAAAATTGCTTGATATCTTCGCCATAACTGTATAAGAACATTTGTGTTTGGGTAAATGACTTCAGCACGAAATAGGCCTTTTGCATTTGCGTTTTGAATTGGACACAATACTCTCGGTACATCCGCAAATGGTCAAAACCCTTTGGAAACATCAAGACTTCTCAAACTTCTTTCAATAAAAGTATAGTTAAACACACACCTGAATCGTATGTACAACATTAGAAGACAAAAACAGTTCAGTTGAGCAATTGACGGTGCTGTCGTCTTGAGATCGGCGTCCTCACCATCGCATATTTTAAAATAGACTTATTCATAGTAAAGTGCTTTACCAACATTACAGTGGAGCACTGTTGTAAACCGCCAAAAAACATGTTCATTTCAGAAAGTAAGCCACGTTTGAATAGCACAAACTTTTGGTTTTATAGAAGTAGACAAATATTTTACTGGTACCTCTTCTAAAGACACAAAATGAGAATTTACCAGTGGTGAAGTGTGTTGTGTGACAATGGGGCATCGCAAATTTATTGCACTGACACGATTGTCATAAACCACCCAAAACGTTTTCACATGGACTTTCCTTAATGCAATAACTTACTTAAGTTTCTTAAAAATCGCTTGTTGAGTTTACATTTAATACTTGATTCGTGCACCTTTTAAAGCAATAATTTGCTTGATTCACGTAGGCATGCTTCTTATCGTGCGATCCATGAGATCTGTAGGCATTAAATCAAAACATCGCATCACTCTGGGTTTAAAATCATTAAAGGTTTCCTGTCCTATTTGAAGGTGAATGGCCTCTTGTTCTAGCATCTTCCTAACAATATGGAAAATGTTTTCAATGGGATTTAAGCAAGGGCTCCTAGGAATTTGGTGGAAATCAGCATGGACGTCTGAACGCCGATTTTGTGGTTTTCGAAACTTGAGATGGATCGTTGTCCATTACAAAAAGACGTTTCTCTCTACCTGCTCTTACAAAACACCTAGGAAATTTTTCTCTTACAAAAGAAGGAAAAAAAATACCGTTCATTGTTTCATAGGCTTCACGAAGAACGACACCTTTGCCATAACTTATAGCTACTAAAACATGTAGACTTTTGCCTCCCGCAAGATCTTTGGATCCTTTGGCTGTTACAGTTTATTCCTCAGATTGTCGTCTCCAAACCCTGGCTTTTGGTTGGTTGGCTGTGCTCAGTGGATTACTTTTGTAAATAAAGGACAGTCCATCTAAGTGAAAAGCCACATCTTTGCTCCAAAAATCAGGCCTTCCCGTGAGCTTTCACTTCATTTTTCGCGCATACTTCAACCTCAGTGAGTGATCTTTTCCACTAAGAAGACCGTTCTTCCTGCTTTGTAGAAATTTGAAGCCGTTTTCGTTAAGGTAACGCAAAAAAGTCCTTCTGCTTGCCAAGTGACTTATTCCAGCATTCACAGTTAGCTGCTTTACGGTGAAATCTACGTTGTCTATATGTACCTTTTCAATAGTACGAGTCAATGCTCTTATTCCACGTTTGTTAACTTTTCTTGGCCTCCCTCCTTTCTTCTTGTCAGGTTGTTTTTTGGGGCTTGACTTTCCTGCGACAGCATAGGCTGTGCACTTCGGTTTTTGGCAGGAAATTGGTGAGTGACCGTCAATTTACAGTTATCAATACAGCTATGCCTTGGTTTCCCCCTCCCCCCCAGAACAAAGTTGAAGTTCATACACTTTAAAAGTCTTCTAAAATGTTTTTGGCCAGTAACACCCAGCACTGTCCATCGGGGGAGGGGGATGATTGGAGAATGCACAGATCTTGTGTAATTTTCATACTCAGTGGACTCATCTGTGAATTACACTTTTTTGGTGTAAAAATTGTAAGCCTGCAATTATCTCAGCCGAGTAATAGGTGATAGTTGATATAGTTCGATTCCTAACCAGGAACTGTAACACTGTGTTGCGTGGGTAAGCGTATGTGAGGTGCAGATCTATCAGCTTTAATGGTATGTAAAAAGTTTAGATCACTGAATTTTTCAAGAGAATTATTTCGTTCACTGATTGGTGATCATTGGTGTATCGTCCTCACTTGGGCTAGTGCAACATCTGCATAAGTGTTTATGTTCATCGAGTAGAAGGCAGTTAAAAAGACCATTTGTAATTGAACAATATTATAACAGAGTCTTATTAAAAGTGTGCTCCTCCTCTTCATGTCTAGACTGTTCAGCCACCTCAGATCTCTCCACTATTTTCTCAAATAAGGTTTCTAACTCTGTTGGCTTGGAATTTATTCCACTTGCTTGAGTCTTGAAAAGTTTTCCTCTTAAATTTGTCCGCCAGAACAACCTAATGATCTCTCACAGATACTTGTGACTTAAATTCAGCCCTTTTCTACTTTCACAACAATTATAGAAATAATTATGGAATGTATCAAAATTGTGACATCATGACATGCATAATTAGCATAATATGCAAATTTCTAGATGAACTTTGAAATCACTAGCCCTTAAAAAAACGTTCCAACTTTTGACTTCTTATTGCAAATCGTAATCAACTGTTAACAAAGTTTCAGGGATAAGAAATTATATTTTGGTCAATAAAACCCTACTTTGAGAATTTGAAACAGTTTTTTAATTGCCCATCACAAAGTGAAAATTAAAACAAAAACGGAAGTAAATAATATTGAAAACAGGGGAAGAGTTCTTCTATGGGTCATTCACCATAAGTCAAGTGCTTCAAGGCACATAATAATTGCTCTTTTACACAAAGAAGGGTTTATTTCTCAAAGATCTTCTTCCTCTTTGATATGGCCTTCCTCTCCCTTTTAACTGCCACGGGTCAGTATGATTTTCAACATCATAAAAAATAGTTTTGCAGTGTGTGGTGCCTTTCAAAACAAGGCACAGGGCACGTTCTAACACCACAAATAGCACAGCTTTATATTGTCTTAACTTTCTGCTGATGGACTTTGCCAGTTGACCGTGTGTCATCGATCACAGTGTAATGGAAATGATCCCAGTTGAACCTTATGTCAGGGTTAGCAACAGGAGCCTGCACAAATTCTCTATTCTTTCGAAAGCACTTGCCTTCAACTAATGCACTTACCAGCTCCTCTCTGAACTCTAGAGCTCTTTTACTGGAATGATTGGGAGATTTCGTGTCGAGAATGTGTGCATTTGATACACACACCTCTATCTATCGTTTAAAAAAAACACTGTAATACCAGACTGCTCCCTTCCTTAGTCCCTCATATGGAACGGTTCTTTGGTCAGACACATCTACATGGCTTGTAAAGGTGTTATAGGGGTCAACTAGACCTGGTCGACTGAATTGTTTGTTTTCCCACTTCCCATTCACTTTAACTGACCGCTGCACTCTGCTCGAGTCCTCTGTGCTGGTGGTAAGGGTGGCTAAAACACTAAGTTGCTTGCTGTCACACCATATGCATGTCAAGTTTCCCTTTTGCCTGTACACTCTCCTCTGTTGAGATTCTTCACTGCATTTTCGTTCAAGCCACAAATCTCTCTTGGCAAGTTTACCCTGTAAGACCTAACTGTACCATATGCAAGCATTTTACTTTCTTTCAACTCTTCAAACAATGTTATAGAGGCATAGTAATTGTCCATAAAGGTACAGAATCCTTTATCTAGTTAAGGTTACATGGCAGACATAACTGCCTCTCTCTGAACCTCATTATTTTCTTTGCCGGTATAAATCTTACTGTTCAAGACAACCACTACTTGATTCAGCCAGAGTGAAAGTCTTTCTTCCGAATCTACCCGGCTTTATAGGAATAAACTTCCTAAAGTGAATTTTACTTTTGAACGTGATTAAAGTCTCATCTATGGCAAGTTGCCGCTCAGGTGTGTACACTTCCTCAAAACCTGGCCATAACCAAATCTAGGAAAGGCTGAATTTTGTACAGCTTGTTGTAATCTCTATAACTGGATACGAGAGAGATCTTTCTGTTGGCTCTCTTTTCTATTCAGTATACAAATCAGTTTGACTAGCTAACAGGTGCCACTGGTTTGGTGACAGATGAGAAAATTTGCATGAAATCATGCAAACTAGTATAAGGAAAGCTTTTTGCTGCTTTTATTTTCATTGAGGGCTGGTTTTAAATCCCTAATAAGAAGAGTTTCCTTGATTTTGCAATGGGTATCTGATTTTCCTCTTTCTTAAATGTCAAAATGGTTCCATTTCAAATTGTGACCAGTTGAAATTCGGACCTTTGGTTTAAGTGACTGTTCTGTTCATTTTGGCTCATACACACATTTGGTTCATTTTGCGCCAAGCCTGGCAAGCCAAACCATCGCTTAACGAACAAACATAAGCATTTCTTTGTGCTGATTCAGAGTCATTGAACACATAAATAAATGGCAAAAGTCATATTCTATTGACTTTGATCATTTGCTTCGTTGTATACCTTATACCCTTTTCTCAAAGAGGACTTTGTCCCGTTTGGTAGTTTAGAATCTTTTGCAGGCAAACTCTAACGCATATTATGCACCTCTTTGTTAGCGTTTGTGTCCAGAGTGTGGACACAAGAGCCTTTCCAGTACGCGGCGAGCCACATGTCTTAGCAACTGAGATATGGGGACAAAATTCGTCTCCCATCTGACCAGAAGGCTATTGTTTAAATTCAGCCAAGCATAGACCGTTGACCGCTTGAAACCATAATTAAGGTGAAATGTGAATCCCCTTTTGTGGTCCCCTAAGAAGCTTAACATGAATCAATCTTTCAATTGGTCATTTTAGCAGACACTGATCCAATGCGACAAATAAAATTACCTGCGTCAAAAGCCAGAGAAAAGATCGAAGGACAACTTTTTTCAAGGTGAAGAACAGGTGTTTAGGACAAATGTTACCCCCACAAAAAATGAGCTGTGCAAATGATACTCACCAACAGAAAGCTTTAGTTTACAGAACTGAGTTATCAAAGTACGATCAAATATTTAAATTTTTGCTAATATTCACATTTTTAATCAGCAAACTTTCCGCAGTACCATAAGTGGATTCTCGTGATACAAACGGTGCATAAGGTAATTCATTAAAACCTTGCTTGAGAATACAAAAGATTTCATTTTCATACATTTTCCTTAATGTCGTTGTGTAGCCAACCGGATTCATGAATGAAATAGATTGACTGCATCCACAGTTCGCTTGAAAACTTTGCCCACTTTGTCAAATTATGCTACGGTAAACTGCCTTGTTCAAGGGAAATTTGCGTCACCATAAAATTGTGTTATCATTTAATCAGGTTTTTCTTTTAAACAGACACCTAAAACGTAAGGAAAGTTTGCGTGCTGATGTTGTAGTTCACAAATAACTCCTGTCTCTTATTTGACTTTGTAAATATTATTCATTTTAAACTCTTTTGCAGGACAGGTGGGACAACTGCCATATTGAGAATGGTGTTGGCTCTGGAACAAGGTGCGACCTTCTGTACTGCTTGTGGCTCAATCAAAGCAGGGACCACTTCTTTCACCCGTGAAATCTCTTTTCTTGTTTCTTCCTCAATTTTCTCTTTCTATACTGCTTCTTGTCCTTTTTAGAGTGCCTTTTTCTTCTTATACCTTGATTTCTATTCTGATCTATCGAACTTCCAGGCCTTCTTGGGTTCCTCAAACGTTGTAGGGGCCAACTTGTAGAAGAACCTGACAAAAGCAAGTCTTCAGGGTTGCTTAATGTCTTTTCCTTCCCAGAATTCTTTTGTTCGCCTGCATGTGATGTTGCCTGTTTAAGGAAGGCAGGACTGAGGTAGACAAGTTGGCCTATAGTCCTTTAGATGTTTATTGGCCCCATTTCTTCATCTTTGCACCATTTCCTGTAGTACATGACCAGCTTTGAATCTACCTTTTCAAACTTAAAGCAATGCGAATGGACATGCTTGTGTAGGTTTTCTCTTGAGAATTTCATCCATGCTCCTACGTCCGACATCTGCACAAGGTGGAAGGCTGGAGGTCATGGTATATTCATGCATTCCTTGATGTCTCCTATAAGATCTTCAACAAGAATAAGATGAATTAATTTGCAAATACTCAGTTTACATGCAAGTCTCAACTGATCATTGGAAAATTTAGTGCACTCTACTTATTTATCAGGTTTGTTGATGGAAGGCAAAACGTACCCCAAGGATAACTATACCACTTGTACATGAATGGCGTGTTAAATACTTAAAGAAGCTTTTTACAATGACTGGTTTAGGAGTAAAGACCCAGGAGAAGGTTATGTTTATTTGTTTATTTTTTATCCGTCACGAGTGCAATATTTCTTGTCAAAAGTCCATAGAAGAAATGAATTTATGCTGAGTGTTTTTTGAAAGCTAAAAGTTGAATTACAGGTAGATGATACTTCCAATATCATAGGCACCTCCCATTCGAATAAACTGTGCCAGGACTCCAAAGAAAGCGTCAATATCCTCATCGGCATGTCCCACTAGAAGAAAGTCACGGCGGATCAAAACAATAAATTAAGTGTTAATTCATGATTCAGTGACCGATTCATCATCTCTTTTTCTTATTTCAAGTCAGGATACACCTTCAAAGACACGTCTAAGTCAACCAGCAGAAAAAGGAAACAAAGTATAATGTTGTTTTTGTTTTCTGTTACACAGTTATAAAGCTGGAGGTATAATGCTGGGGTCAGGCCATGCAGACTATTAAACTTGTTGGCAACGCATATGAGAGCATTAGCGGTCATATTGGGATCGTGAGGCCACTCGTAAATATCTAGGCAGGCAAATATCTCTTTTCCTTGGGCATAAATCGCAGGTTCCTTTGAGACCCTTTCTTTCTCTTGGAAGGGGCATTTTGCTGTTATCCATTCCATCTTGAATGACTGTCACACTTTTTAGGGTGGTGCTTTGCTTTGCACCTATGATGGTGACAGTTCCTTCTCTCTTTCCTGCTTACCAAAACCATAAGGACAGCATTTATGTCCTTATGTCAAGGTATCACCTGTTTTTGTTAGGACAGAAAATTACTAACTTATGATTTATATTTTTGAAATAAAAAAAATTCTTACATGACTTCATTAAGATGCGCATCAAGTAACCTGTGAATGTCCTTTTTTCACTTTGTTTATTGTAGACTTTAGCCCCCTTTTGTTCTCTGTACAATCTTTGCATTTTGCAAATCTTTTGAACATTTAGTCAAATGAAAACTGCTTCCCTGGTTTTTCCATGGGTGGTTACCTTTTGTTCTTTTAAACAACAGTGGAGTAAAAACTTTATTGATGTGTTCAAACCCAAGATTATTGGTGTTCACACCATCCAAATCAGAAAGAAATGTATTGACCTTCACATCAGGAATCTTTTCATGCCAGATCTCATAAAACCGAGACATACAAACTTGTTTTTCACCCCTTTCTTGACATTCTCTCTCCATCGTTTTATAGTTTCTATCAATATTGTAGCAATAGGGGAGGTGAATTCCCTTTTGGTTGGATTCGCATAATCTGCAAGCCAGCGAGCCATGCAAAGCATGTGAAAAATAGATTTGTATGAAATTGTAAATGCATGGAAAATGTTTCCTGCTAGGTTTTCCTGATGGAATATTTGCAGTATTACGCAGTATTGATCGACTTTCACTGATGGGGGTTAAGCGCTCATTTTACTGACTAGCTTTAAATACTCACTTTATGGATTAGGGTTATATGGGCTTTTTAGGGTTAAGAACTTTTTTTACGGATTAGGTTTAAGTGCTTTTTGGCGTTAAACACTCAAATACAATGGTTAACTTGCGGTTATTTCTTTGTATTACTGCTTTTTCAATTTTTTTTTCTATTTTTCTTTCGCATGGCTTGCACTGTGTCCTAACTCTTGTGGTTGGGCTAGTGTTCTCCTACGGCCTGGACAAGTAAATTCAGTCATGACACACAGTTTGATGCTTTGAGGCTCAAATTACGATTGCCTTTATTATCAAGTACATAGTTTTCCCATCATAAAAAATCCTTCTCTATTCTGCACTAAGTGGTACAGCCTTGTGCTACTGTTTCTCCTGTTATCTTTGATTAGGTTTTCAAATGAACGGATGCCATTGCAATAATTAACGGGGTCTCCATCAAATATCTCCACCTCAGCATTAGAGAGAGTTGTTGATGTTGTCCCAGGAACTGCTGCTACTGCTGTATCACAGTATTGCTTCAGGTACATTAGTTTTTTGTTGTGCCATTACTGCTACCGCTGTATATCTATCATGTCTTGAATGAACTGTCAAAGTTCTCGTACCGTAACAGACGAAGGGCATCTCTGTCCTTTGGGTCCACTTTTATCTGTAGAACTTGTGGTTTTTGTTACGCTTGTCTCGTCAAAGTAATGAAGTGAACTGACTGCTAAGTCACTGACTTGATCAGGGAAAAGTTTTGCATGTTCTCCAATATCTTCATTCTTTGATTTGGATAAGACAGTGTGAATTTTCTGTTTCGTCATCATTAGTTCATTCCTAAGAAATTTAATGATGGTGCTTGGATGAGGCAAAACCGTGGGGTGGATTATACCATTCATAACAAGTCTTCTTAAGATCTCAGCAGTATAGATACTCGGTTTGCAAAGTTTTTCAATTTCAATGCATTTAATTGCATTTGGCGTGAGAACGCTGCAACCGTGCTGTTTGGGTTGTTGATAACATGAGTTTGTCAAATTGTAGGCACAGAAAACATTCAGAACAAAATGACGGTTGGTTCAAATTTCTTGAGCAATTAAATATTGAGATTGCCCAATGTAACGACCGCCAGACTGATTAATTCTGAACTGCACAGACATGATTTCGACTTACAAACCTTTAATTTCACAAAGGCAACGCATGTTAACAGGTAAACATTTAAATTTCATTATGACAAAAAAAATCAAGATTTTTGGTCTCTGATTGGTTCATGCTAGGATAAGCCATTCTTAACTGTGAAAAATTTAGGATGTAAAGTAACCAAGGAAAAATAGGTGGGTCCCCTTTGAGGTCTGCCGCCCAATTCTCTATTACAGGAGTGGTTTTTGATTGGCTGAAAGTCCTTTGGTTGCCCTGGTTGAAGTCTTCACACAGTAATAGTGCGGCTGATAAACACAACTTATTTCCAGTGCATTTTAAAAAAATTGAACTTGTGCTTGTGTTCATTTGAGAACCAATAACTGCAAACAAATACTCCACCTTGATGGGTTCATTACTGAGCCCGCAATACGGTCAGGTGATACTGGTCAGTGGATACCCTGTTATACCCTGTTTTGACAGCTGTCAAATATAGAAATCCCAATCTGGTACAGCCAAAGACTGCATAAAAGCGTGGAAGGTTTGGTCAGAGAGGATAACCTTAACCGCCTTGTTGACTCCCTTTCCTCAGCAATTAAATCGTCGATTTCCCGAAGGAGATTCCTTGCTTCAGGATTTCTCTTGCAGTATGAGATGTCCCAAAGTAGATGCCAAGCTTTCATGATGTCTCTTAGCTACTTCCTCAGTCTCTTCAAATACGCATGTCACTTTGCTATTCATTTTTCTTTTCCTTTCTTTTTCCATTGGCGTGTGAGGGTCATTCTCTAAAAAAATCCCTTGAATGTTGAACCCTGAGTGAAACCGGCATCTGATGATCACCCTAAAGGAAGGAAATCGGTTTGGCAAACTCGTCACAAAGTTGAGCTCCAAGCGTTTGAATTTTTTTGCAATAGTTCTCCTAGTTGCTTTGCAGTTGTTGATTAATTTGTCCTGTTAGATTTTCTCTTGCAGTGCAAAAAAAGTTTGGATAATCCAGCAGTGGTGGTGGTGGTGTAGTTGAAATCACTCCCGTGCACACCAGATCTGTTTTAATGGGCATTTTAGACGTTTTGGCACAGACATCGTCGAGGCAAAATGAGTTGAGAAGAACTCGTTAAGAATTAAACTCTATCTCTACCTCTATAGTGTCCTTATGGTTTAGTGAGGCCACATAAAAACCAAAAGAGTAAAAGGTAAAACGGATAAATTTGCCTTGTATTTGCTCCTGAACCAGGCTGAAGACGTCTTAGGTTGGCCATCTTCAGTCGTTGGGAGAGAAGCTCAAACTTTCCTGACCTCCTGGAAACTTTTTAAACACGTCTCAATTCAAAAACTTTAAAGGCTTGAGATTAGGCAATTTGGAATAAAACACGTACAAAGACTTTTCTCTATAACACTTGCTGAGAAAACTCACTGATACTCTATTCATTGATTTTGCCTCTCAGCTATCAACCCGTGGAATAATGGAAAAAGACCGTGCCTGACTTTATTTACCCTGCCTAGTACTGTTTTAACTATATTAACTCCATATTGGCTGTGTTTTCACTAGGCGATTAACAAGCTGAATATTCTTTCTAGGCTTTTTTTACAAATCAACTTTTATTAGTTACACGTGACAGCTGTTTTCACTATGAAATTTAAGCGGCGATCCAAGCCTCTAACTCAAATTGCAAAATCAATAGATAATGGTGGGCAACGAAGCACTTGTTATGACTTCTCTTGTAGTCATTCTCGTGTTTTTTGGGGAGGTGTTTTATTCAGTGAATGAGGCTCATGTCCTTACAAAGGAGGAGGATGCGTCAAAATGTTTAATTCTTTCAATCAACATTCAGTGCCTTAAGCACTGCAATGAGCTCACTTCTCATTGCAAAGGAGAATGGCAATATTTTGCATTCCCCGATGCGTGGAATAGGTGGTACGCAAGTTTCTCAGACCAGAGCTCTCATTGACAGCCAGAGAGATTTGAGCAAATCATTAAACAGTGCAAGGGTGGTTATTGTGCAAGCATTTGGACTGTTAAAAGAGCGGTGGGAGTGTCTACTGGACAAACTTGATGAAACAGTGGAAAAAGTGGCGGGCACAATCATCACCTGTTGTATTCTACACAACACATGCCTAGAGGTGAAAGATGCCACTGAAATCAATGTTGTCAGTGATGAAGATGGGTTTCCCAGAGTGCTCCTCCCAGAACATAATTCTAATGCAGATGGTGTAGGATTAAGAAACACCATAGAAGACACTTTGTTCGAATGCTTTCATATGTATTACATTTGTACAATTCCGGATTCATTCATGTTCATTTCAGTCACGTTTGTATTGTGGTTTATGTTCTGAACAAAAAGGTTAGCCATCCACGTAGTTGCTGATGGCATAAGACTTAACAACGTCCATGTGTATATTCCTACAGTGATCCCTTCATTTTCATTTCAATTTGTGGTTAATGTTCCAAGCAAAAAAAGCAATGAGTTCATAAAAATTTATTACAAGTCTTAAAATGCTAACAATTCCAAATTTTTAATGAACTACAGAAATTTTTATGGCTCATAATACTCCACCAGATCGGCTTATTGAGACGGCAAAGCCTTTTTCTTGTGGCAGGCAGTTTTCCTTTATTTTTCACCTTTCAACGTTTTCTCTTAAAGTCGTTTTCAAACTCTTCCTCTAACTTGGCATCACTATCTTGATCTGCCTGGCCACTTGACTGAGATAAATCAACTGAATCGTGCAGAAAGTCATTTGTTTAAGCACTTGTAGACGCCGTATCTTTCAAACCACTTTCAAGCATACATTTTGGAGCTGTTGTTGGACTTGCAGCACAAAACTCCATCGACTTCTTTGTAGTATTCCAAGGTTTCCTGATTATTACTATTTCGCAGTTGTGGTCTTTCACTCGTTTCCACTTATCTTGGAAGTATTTTAAGCATTTTTTTTTTATAATTTTACGTTTATTGACAAAACACATATTACAGTTGCAAATTTAAAACTAAAAAAAAGTATATAACGATATTACAGATTAGATCAAAATTACATAAAGACGAGAAAGAATAATACAACAGTTGTAGTAACACGCACAATAACTATTATTATAACTAATTATTTTTAGAGAAAGGAATAGTTATGCCACGTGTCTTCAATTCCTGAGTATTTGTTTTGGATGACAGCATAGCTGTCAGTGATCAATTTAACAGAAATTTCGTCTTCTGGCAATGAATTATTAAATTCCCATAGCCCAGGGCCTCTATTGTCATTTTCCAGTTGCAATGGGACTCTAATTGCTTTGTGATCAGGCACGATAGAAACTTAAGTGTCCCAATGAGAAACTCATCTGCAAGGGGTTGTGATACGAGGAAAAAATCAATGCGAGAAGAGAGTTTTAAAACTTTGGATTCGTAGGTGAAACACAGCTTACTTGGATTAAGATTTCTGTAGACATCAATCAGTGAAAATTCTTTCATCATGGAAATGATGAAAGTATTTTAAGCATGCTTTACATTGTTTAACTTCTTTGCGATGGTGTCCCATGCACCACTGTTCCTGCTGACTAATTGGGAAATGTTCCCCCCAAAAGAAATTGATCTCTGCATCTGACCAATTTCGGCATCAGTTTCTGTTGTAAAGCCCTGGCTGCGAATTTTCTCCATTGGAACTGCTTTCACCGCTGCAAGATTTCGAGCAACCCAGCCCTGGTGAATTTCCGCTCATAAAGGCGAGAAAATCCCTTGTTTTTGCTTGTGAAAACAGCTTGTATTTTAAACTAGCTTAAACAAAAACAGGGTGTTTTCACCATATTTCCGTCTTTATCTAGTTAAAATTGTCTTGGTTAAAACACAACCATTAGCAGACAGTTGCAAAATTTGGAACTGTTTCCTTTCGTCCGTTAAGTCAGCATTGATGACAGCTCTTGACAATGGAGATTGAACCTGAGTGACAAGCATGAAGTAAAAGGCTAAATTTTGAAGGAAACTGAGCATAACAACCATCACTCAACCTTACTTAGAAAAGGGTTTTATTGCGGCTCCTCATGTTTGAACACAAACTGACTATCTCCAGTGAATTCCAGGACTTTTCCAATTACAGGCCGCTTTTTGTAGTTAGACAAAACTACAAAATGGCCTTCTTCCAGGTTGGCATTGTCAATATCCTCCTGAACATCTTCCACTCTTTTTTCTGCGTTTCCGTAAGGACTATTATAAATCTAAAGGCCCAAATTAATAGTACAATACAACAGGACGTTACATGTCGACAGAAATCGATCATCAGAAAGCAAGACGATAATGCTCGATAATTGTCATTTGACAAGTTACATTTGTCAATAAAAAATAATAATCACAATGATCTAAGGAGAGGTAAGCAATTTCAATTGACTTTTATCGATTTCTATTAACAACAAAACAGCCCCTACGAAACTTGCAGTGCTGTACAGCACCACAAAATTGCTTCAAAATAGCAGTACCGCTAAGTTAAAGCTGTTTAGCAGCATTTTAGAAGCCAGAAAGCAGCTTAATTCAAGTTACAGCGGGATGCAAAAGTGCTGTGCAGCCTTTGAAGCTCTCAGCAGCAGTTTTGTAGTGAAGTTGCCAACTTTCAAATGCTACGAAGAAGCGGCAGTAATGCTACAATTCAGTTGTGGTCAATCTGATAGGCCATAACTTTCTTAAGCGCCAGTAACATGAATTGCCAGAAAAGCCTTGCCATGGCTTTTATAACAAGAAAACTTTGACTGTACCTCTAAGAAATGTGAGTAAGCTTGTGTGCAGGGAAGATCACTTATTGCATAAACCTCCAAATTCTATGCTTTTGGAATAAGGCTTTCAATAAATTTCATTCCATGACTGGCGAGTGTGGGGATGTTGTCGCCAATGGCCTGGAGACATTCTAGGCGGTAATCTAATATTATTGGTGGGCACTTTTGTATGAGATCCCATTACATCCCTAGACAAACATTTGCGACTGTCGAATGAAAGGTGCAAACATTCATAGGTTTTTTGCATCTAGTTGTTTTGAGATGGAAACAGCATGTGGCTCACCACAGCATTGGCCAGGCTTGTAAAACCCCATCCTTTGCTCCCTTAAATGATTGTTGAACCAATCTGTAACCTTGGAAAAGAAACAGAAATACAACCAAATTACGATCACATAGAATGAAAATGTAAGCTCTCTTAAAATTGTTTTGATGCCATTTAGCATATCAGATAGTTCTCAGCTGGGTTCTATAGCTTGTTATCTGAATGGGAATACAGTAAATACCTTCTTTACTGGTATTCACTCAACTATCATATCAGTATAATTTTAGGAAAATTTGCACGAACTTTTATATCCTTGCCGCAGTTACTGAAAAAGTTCGTCTGCGCTTGGTTTCTCTGCAGTACTTAGAGACATAACATATTTACATTGGCATAGCGAGTATTGCGGGCATGACAGTTGTTATTTATAAAAATGTGATCATTTGAGAGTGTGTCCATGAGAAAACTAGGCAGAACTGGCCAGGAGGACAGATATAGGGCAAAAGTTGCAAGGGTCACACTCCAATCCATTCTTAAATAAAGGTGCGACTGGCAGTTTCCCATTGTGAGGGGAAGTTTTCACAGCCACCTTCAACTTATTTGAATCAGTTGAGTGATTGCACTGAGAAATGAAATCCCACAGTAGCCAATTCCTTAAAAGTGTGATGGTCATTTCATCGGGTTAAATGAAAATCACTTTATTTATCCATTCTTTCAGCTTGAAATCTATCCATTTGCCGCACTCAACCATGGCTTCAAATTCTAACACAATCACTTTTTGTCCTCCCTTCTTTTAGCTTCAACTCAATTTACCAGATTGCGATGCCTTAAGTTCTAACACAATGTTTTGCAGTCGTTGTATCCAGTCGTTTCTCATGTTAACACTACATCCTTGGTGAAGTGCTGGTGCACATCAAGCAAGCGTGTTTTTTTTTAATTGGCCGGGAGGACAGATATAGGGCAAAAGTTGCAAGGGTCACACTTTAATCCATTTTTAAATGAAGGTGCGACTGGCAGTTTCCCATTGTGAGGGGAAGTTTTCACAGCCACCTTCAACTTATTTGAATCAGTTGAGTGATTGCACTGAGAAATGAAATCCCACAGTAACCAATTCCTTAAAAGTGTGATGGTCATTTCATCGGGTTAAATGAAAATCACTTTATTTATCTATTCTTTCAGCTTGAAATCTATCCATTTGCCGCACTCAACCATGGCTTCAAATTCCAACACAATCACTTTTTTTCCTCCCTTCTTTTAGCTTCAACTCAATTTACCAGATTGTGATGCCTTAAGTTCTAACACAATGTTTTGCAGTCGTTGTATCCAGTCGTTTCTCATGTTAACACTACATCCTTGGTGAAGTGCTGGTGCACATCAAGCAAGCGTGTTTTTTTTTTTATTGGCCGGGAGAACAGATATAGGGCAAAAGTTGCAAGGGTCACACCCCAATCCATTCTTCAATAAAGGTGTGACTGGCAGTTTCCCAGCGGGAGGGGAACTTTTCATAGCCACCTTCAAATTATTTGAATCAGTTGAGCAATGGCACTAAGAAACGGAATCCCACAGTAGTCAATTCCTTTAAAGGGTGATGGTCGTTTCATTAGGTTCAATTAAAATCACTTTTTTATCCATTCTTTCAGTTTGAAATCAATCCATTTACCGCATTCAACCATGGTTTCAAATTCTAACACAATCACTTTTTTTCCTCCCTTCTTTTAGTGTCAAATCAATTTACCACATTGCGATGCCTGAAGTTCTAACACAATGTTTTGGAGTCCTTGTATCCAATCGTTTCTCATGTTAACACTACATCCTTGGTGAAAGTGCTAGTGCACATCTAGGAAGCGTGTTGTTTTTTTTATGTCCCCTTTCACGAATATGGTAAAATAATACCAACTCCGAGTGCACTTAATGTCAACAGCCAAGCTTAGTTTGCTAGAGTGCATAAAAAATAGCAACAAACAGTTGGGATTAAAATTCTGGCCATTCCAGATGGCCGCTTTTATTTACATAACTAAGAAATCCAAGAAATAAGAAACTAAAAGTAATTTATTTAAGCTCTAGCAAAGGTGAGGGCCACGATAAAAGGCCACAGGACGCTGTTTCAGCGGCCAGCCCCACCCGCAGGCTGTTGACTTATAAATGCAGACTTAGGGTATGATAAACACAGCGCCAGCTTGTGTTTCCGGATATTAACAGCTAAACGCTTGCTTGTGTAAAATTCGTACCTAAACTAGGCGTTCTGATATATTTGAGAAAGGCGTTTGATTTCCAGCCACCTAGTAAACGAATTTGAGAGTCAGAAAAACCTTTAGCGGTAGCCCAACTAGCGGCTCCAATACGGAAACTATGAGCTTTGTAAAGAGCACAGTCAAGGTTGTTAAACTTAAGGGCAGCTTTAAGCTTCGTGACAAAAAATGTCCTAGTGATAGGCGTCCCATCGGGCCAGCAAAACAGGGGACCCGGAGCATAACCTCTAAGTGAAACATATTGCAAAAGCAACTGTACAGGACAGCACAAGGACTCAGGATAAATGTAAACAACAAAATTCTGTCCCGGGTCACTGTGTTTGTAGTTAATAAGAGTAAGCTGAAGGGCTTTGACGTTTCCCTTCTTATCCACTAAGCGATCTAACTGAGTTATTCTAATGAGATTAGTGCTCTCACCAGAAGTTGTTGTTATTTCTCCTATTCGCAGAAATGCAAAAAATGCAATGGCACACATAGCTGAGAGCAAATGTATTTGATATGCTGATGAGACTGTGTGTTGAAACGATCCTAATAGCTTGTTTAGGATTGGTAACGTAATCGGCAAACGAATATCTGTAGTGGGAGCTAACTTCCTATAGCCCTTAAGGAGCTGATTTATAATGGCTGCTTTGGTGGGATCATCCACTGCAGCTAATTGATGTACGTAACTAATGGCAGAAACATAAGACGTAACGGACGACGCTGCGTATTTCAAAGAGTACAAATGAGCAATAAACAAAGCTAAAATAGCTGGTTGAATGGGTAGCTTAATAAGCATGTCACCTAAAAATTGCTGGGCCCAAGAGGTAAATAGCGCCCAGGGCCTTTTGTAAGCTTTAACTGAAGCGCTACTGATGCCAGCCTCTAAAAGTGTTTTAGTTATATCGGCCAGTTCTCTGGTAGCAGATGTGGAGGAACAATTGTCGGTTCGGCTGCTGCATACTGGTCGAGGGACTTGAATTTGTCTACCTGTAAACGCGATAATGCGTCAGCGCTTGTGTTACAAATACCGGGCAGATGAACTGCCTTAAAAAGTATGTTATGCTTCAAACATGACAAAACCAAGGAGCGGACTAAAACCAACAGTTTTTATCTTTTGTGGTTTTCTTATTGATAACCTCCACAAGCGCTTGGTTATCTGTATGGAATGTGACACACTTATTGGCCAGCCTATTGGCCCATATTTCAACACTAATTACAATCTGAAACATTTCAAGTATGACTATATTAAGCGAGCTCCAACGCTTGGGCCAAGCGCCATATAACCAGTTCCTACCAAAAACCGCGCCATAGCCTAATGAGCCTGAAGCATCAGTGTATAGGTGTATCATATCGGATGAAAGCCAAACGAAATCTAAAAAGAACGATTTGCCGTTGAACTGTGTAAGGAATTGCAACCACAAGTGAAGATCGCCTTTTACTGCGCTCGTTAAGCGAATCATATGCATCGGTCGCCTGACGCCTACTGTGAGGTTAATCATTCTTCGGAGAAATGTTCTTCCAGGCACAACTACTGAGCAGGTAAAATTTAACAACCCTATTAGAGATTGCATGTCTTTTAGAGTGACTTTCTTGCGCTTTAGGAAATCTTGTATCATGTTAGTACATTTGTCTATCTTATCCTGAGGAAGCCTCGCTTCCAACTTGCAAGTATCAAGTTCGATACCCGCAAAAGAAAGAACTGTACTAGGACCAACGGTCTTTTCAGGCGCCATGGGAACCCCTAAATCGTCACAAGTTGTTAAGAACGATAAAAGTTTTGTCGAACATGTAACTGTATCACGCTCAATGATGAGAAAATCGTCTAAGATATGTAGAATACCCGGAGTTGACAATTTGTAACGTGCAATCCATTCTAACGCGGAGCTAAATGCCTCAAAAATCTTGCACGAGCTGGAACAGCCCATGGGCAAGCACTTATCATAATAAAAGTGATCTTGCCAAAAAATACCAAGCAAGTCGTAATCATTTGGGTTAACCGGAATCAATCGAAAAGCATTTTTGACATCTGTCTTTGCAAGCGCACAGCCCCTGCCTGTGCGCCTAATAATCCTAATAGCATCGTCGATTGATGCGTAGCGAACTGAAGATGCTTCCGTAGGAATATGAGAATTGACAGATGTGCCATAAGGAAAAGATAAGTGATGAATTAAGCGAAATTCCCCTGGCGCCTTCTTAGGGATTAAACCTAACGGCGATAAACGCAATGAAGAAAAAGGCTTTTCAGAAAAAGGTCCAGCTATTCTACCTAATTTTAATTCCTTGGAAAGTTTTTCATTGACAGCTGAAGGATTTTGAATTGCTGACAGCAAATTATTGCAGAAGGACGTCTCCTGATGTCCGACGTAATCAAGAGAAAACCCTCTTGAGAAACCATCTAGTAGATAGCGCTTCGACGCCGGTGGATAACCGTCTAAATAAAACTCTAATTTACTTATTTTGATTGGTATTGGTAGCGGCATGTGCCGAGGTGGGGCGTGATGTAGCGGCAGAGGGTTTCGTCCCTCGACATCTAAAAGCCGGATGGGTTGCCCCACATTTGAAACATTCATGTTTGAAGTTACAGCCGAAACATTTTTCGCCTTGATGAAACTTCCAGCAAAAGCCTTTGGGAAAGGGCTGAGACGATTGTTTATTAGCGTTGTTTCCTGGAGAAGCTGGAAATGAACTACGGGTCATGTGGTGCGCCTGCAACCACAATTCCCAGTGTATTTCATACCAGGGGAAAAGGGATTTTTGCCGCAAATAGCGGAAATTCTCATCGTAATAGCGCCAATGCGCATTTTTGGCCGCTAAATCACGCACCGTCGCACTATACTTCTTCAAGGCCGGTGCCGTTTGTGGAAAACGCACTGTGTAAATAGCAACAAAAATTTGAAATGCAGAGGTCCACTGATCGATTGTAGCTATGCGCTTGGTGTTTTGCACAGGCTCGAGACGAACAGTTGGCGTTGAAGACCCAGGTAAATTTTTTATTGTAAAATTGTATTTGGGGTCCCCGGGCAACGTTGCGAAAAGGCTACCTAAATCGACATATTCGTTTGCCCAGATTTTAGATTGCAGTTTTTCGGATACCCTACTCGCTAAGGGAACGGAAATCAACTTGTGAATAGTACCAGGCCGACTGTTAGCATCGGGACTGCCCGAAATTACAGAATCATTATTTGATTGAAAATTATGGCCCTCACCAGTTAAATCCTGAACAACAGCTGCCACTGACTCCTGTACAGCAGCAGCTGGATCAGCATTCTGCTCTGTGGTTGGAACAGTGTTCGCCGACGGGATAACGCCTGCCTCAGATAAACTTTTTATCACAGCGGCTGACACTGCCTTTGTCAGATCCGGAATGGAGACCGACGACGGGATCAATGAGGTCGTTAGTTCTTGACGATCCACTGCAGTGGTGGAATTGCCCGTGAGGGGTTGCCTTTCGAGTTCAGCTGGATGCGTAGCTTCTGCAAGATGGGGTGTTTGGACAGGGCCGTTGTTTGGAGGGACTCGTCGTGATCGCTTGCGTGCCACAGAAGGGACAGAACGGGTGGAACTAGACCTTTTAGCACCAACGCTGGTGGCTTTGCCTTGTGTAGCGCTTGTTCCTTTACTCAGGCGTTGTTTTCCACGAGTCATCATTCTGGCGGATCCTAGTAGTGCACTAAAAGTAACAGACAAAACCTTTCGAACGACTAAGAAACTGGCCCTGATAAACGAATGTTACAAATGCGAAATAAAGGAGCTAGCGACCATAGGCAAAGAGGGTGGAATGGGATAGCGGACCGAGAAAGTTGATCGCCAGGTCATTCACTTAAACAGAGATAAATGTGGATAATCAGGCAAACAACAAATCGGCAACATGTTTGGCAAACCCAGTAAAATGAGATGCCGCAATGAACATGCTAAAAGTTCCGGAAATAAGGTATATATACCTTAAAACATATCAATATAAACTCAAAAGAGTATACAAAAACAAAGAAAGGTGAATGCCTGTGCGATCTGACGTGTTCGAACCAGTCAGGTCCTCTGAGCTAGGGAAAACAGTTTCGCCCCTCTGTAACTACGATATAAAGCATAATTGCCCCGGTCGTTTAAATGAATGCCATCCCGCAGTAACATGGGGATGCTTGGTCTTCGTAGGCCTTTGTGGTTCCAAAACTCGGCATAAGACAGGGGCTCCAAGACAACTTTAAGGTAATTGTTCAAGACCTGAACACCCAAATTGTAGTCGGGATGTTGCGAAGGGGCTGTCACTCTATTAAGAATTTGGCAAACCACCACAAACTTCACATTAAACTGCCCGTGTAACATGCGGACAAAGTCCTCGATGTTTGAGCCAATAGTTTCTGGGCGTTGCCCGGCCTTACAGAGGTCACTAGAACCTATCTCTAAAATAACTACATGAGGCTGAAAGGCTCTGACGCGCCCTAAATCGAAGGAACGAAGTTTAGCGACAGTTCTTCCCCCAATCCCAGAAAAACAGATTTCTATAGATGACAAATTCAAATTAGCTAGCGTCCGTTTGTCACGGCGCTGCTTTAGGAAATAATGAAAACGTTTCACGAAGGAATGTCCCATTATCAAAACTTTACAATTTTGTTCCATGGCATAGAAAAGAGGAGGGGGACAGAAGTAAAAGGAAAGTACTTAACTTTGCCGTAGGCTTGATTTCTTGAACGTCCGAAGATTGAGCTTGCAAATTGTGAGTGGAATCGAAGTTGTTCACACCTTATAACTCCTCGAGAAAAACGATCATGCGATTGTGTAATTTTACTGAAAACGTGGAGAGTAAAATTACTGCACATGTTGAGTAAATGTACGGAACGAGGACTATAGTAATTTTACTGAACGTGTTCCAGGGATATAAGTGGTCCCTGAGATCTCCTGATTATCTTGTGATCAATACTTTACATGACTGTACCTTTTACCTATTATATAGTAAGAAGCAAAGGTCAAGAGAATCACCTGTACATGTCGACGAACATTATCAGGTCACAAAAACAACCACCTCAACCCTACATTAAACTGTGTAAATAACTACATATTATTGTGTAGGTGACAGGACAGATATAGGGCAAAACTTGCAAGAGTCACGCTCCAATCCATTCTTAAATAAAGGTGTGACTAACAGTTTCCCAGCGTGAGGGGAACTTTCCACAGCCACCTTCAAATTATTTGAATCAGTTGAGCGATCGCACTGAGAAATTAAATCCCACAGTAGTCAATTCCTGAAAAGCGTGATGGTCGTTTCGTCAGGTTAAATGAAAATCACTTTTTTTATCCATGCTTGAAGCTTAAAATCTATCCATTTGCCGCACTCAACCATGGCTTCAAATTCTAACACAATCACTTTTTGTTCTCCCTTCTTTTAGCTTCAACTCAATTTACCAGATTGCGATGCCTTAAGTTCTAACACAATGCTTTGTAGTCATTGTATCCAGTCGTTTCTCATGTGAACATTACATCCTTGGTGAAGTGCTGGTGCACATCAAGCAAGCATGTTTTTTTTTAATTGGCCGGGAGGACAGATATAGGGCAAAAGTTACAAGGGTCACACTTTAATCCATTTTTAAATGAAGGTGTGAGTGGCAGTTTCCCAGCATGAGGGGAACTTTTCATAGCCACCTTCAAATTATTTGAATCAGTTGAGGGATTGCACTTAGAAACAGAATCCCACAGTGGCCAATTACTTAAAAGCGTGATGGTCGTTTCATCAGGTTCAATTAAAACCCTTTTTTATCCATTGTTTCAGCTTGAAATAGATCCATTTACCGCATTCAACAATGGCTTTAAATTCTAACACAATCACTTTTTTTCTTCCCTTCTTTTAGCGTCAAATCAATTTACCACATTGCGACGCCTGAAGTTCTAACACAATGTTTTGTAGTCCTTGTATCCAATCGTTTCTCATGTTAACACTACATCCTTGGTGAAGTGCTGGTGCACATCAAGGAAGCATGTATTGTTTTTATCGGCTTGGAGGACAGATATAGGGCAAAAGTTGTAAGGGTCACACTCCAATCCATTCTTAAATAAAGGTGTGACTGGCAGTTTCCTAGCGTGTGAGGGGAACTTTTTAGAGCCACCTTCAAATTATTTGAATCAGTTGAGCGACCACACTGAGAAATGAAATACCACAGTAGCCAATTCCTTAACAGCGTGGTGGTCTTCTCATCAGGTTCAATGAAAGTCAAGTTTTTTATCCATTCTTTCAGCTTGACTCTTGTCGTGAGGTTAATTAACTCAAAGTCATACATCATGTCCTGCAGATGTTAAAACAGACAAAAATTATTAGTTAATTGGTATTTTCCATGCATCCTCCCCTGTGTGATCTACAATATGGATGGTTTGCACCCAGGAATCATGTCTTACAAAGTAGTATATTATTCTATTATTGTATAACAAGGTTGAAAACTAACAATCTTCACTCACCATTAGTTCCCTGTACAGAAAAATTTGTCCTCTTTTGCAATGCCGCTTTACTTAAAATCTTCGTCATGATCTTGCTGTAAGTTTGCAGTGTGGTGAAAGCTGACTGATCCCAATGTTTTTTTTTGGCAAACTAAGATCTTTCCAAACTAAAAGAGTGCACAGTATACTACCCTTCCCCAAACTACACATGTAAGGTTATTATCAACCCACATACCATTGCTTCACCAGAGGGGTTCAGTAATTCCTTGCTCTATGTGAGGTTGTCCTCCTGTCTCACTTTTCTTCCATTGCTTTGTGCTTGCTTGCCTGTTGTTTGGCAGCCTTTGCCTGGATCAGGCGAATAAATTTCAGAACATCTGTACATGACCATAATGCTTACATGTATACAAAAAGCTAACTTTTTTAAACGACTGTCAAAATCACATTTGCTAGCCACAAAGTATTATGTATATGTTAAATTTTTTAACCTAGGTTGATTCTTCATTTCCTATGTCCCCTAGCCCTAATTAATTAGAGTTAGGACAAAATAGGAAGCAAAGGAAATGGGAATCAACCGAGGTTAAAATCAAATTTGACCTGTAACATATCGTGTTAATATTAGTCCTTGTGAAGAGAGTTTATAGTCTTGTCGTGCGCAGTCACAGCCAGTTGCAAACTCAGACACCCATATTTGTATTTATTTATGAATCCATATATCGCTTGGTGTGCACCCTGACATCATCTAGTGTGTGACATCACGGAGCATGTGGTGTGGTGGCAATGAAATGGCCAGGCACATACAAGGTCCCAAGTTTGATTCCAGACGGAAGCTGTTCTTTTTTGTCACCTCTTATTTTCTTTTTGTTTGGTTTTTTTCTAGTTACTGTAGTTTTGTTTTGTTTCTGAGCATTAGTGTTATAAATTTATAGATTTTCTTCCCTACTGCCCTTAATATTTCTCTGTTTTCCTACTGCTTGCCATTCCTCCAGAGTGCTGCGATTTATGTATTTCTAGTTAGATACAGAGTAGGTACAGGCATAGACTTCGTCTAGGTCTTTCCAGATTTTTGTGTACTCTCTTCCCCTCTGAGGCAAACAGCAGCAATCATGGGATTAGATTGCCAAGAAAATATGAGGGTTTGAAGGGAAAGTCGTATTTCATTGATGTTTAACATATATTGCTTAATTTGTTTCAAACAGTTCAGTGACTTAGAATTCACATATGGATCTAGGAAACAAAAAGAACTTGAAAGCGTCCTTGTTAATTTTGGGTATTATACTTAAATGATTGGCTCCTGCATGTGCTGATGTATTTGTTGCCTTTATAATCATGGTAACACGATCTTGCATATGCTGGGTTTTGATTCACAATTCTTTTTCTATTGGTTCATTCATTCGATGATGTTATTGGAAGTATTCCATCTGGAAAGGGACAAGTTGGCAATTTCATGCCAATTTTCTTCGTAGTTAGGTTTATTGAGATATTCTTCCTTCAAGGTATTGCTAATAGCTGCGCAAACGTCCGTGTTAATTGCTGCGAACTTTTGTGGATTTTCCAAATGACAAAGACTGAAAACTTTCTCCAGTCGTTATATATTTAGGGGTTAGCGCTTAATGTTCACCAGGAGGAATTGACATTCACATTTAAGTATCTTTCTTCTGTATTGAAGGACCAATCATGTTTAACAGCTCAATGAATTTATAATGAGGCCTTCTCATGTAATCAGCAAATCTGCCAGAATCCTTGAGGGTGAGTTTCTTGAAACTGTGCTATAAGCACCTCTTTCTTCTCCTCTTGACACCCACTAGCATATCCAGTTTTTCCTTTCCATGTGTTTATATTCTTTGTTATCTAACAGCATCATTAAGAGAACTGTAAGCTTTTTATCTTTGACTTTGAAGACATTCGCTGTATTCACTGCCCTGCTATATTGATTGGTTCACATTGGTTTCTTTTTTTGTTTTCAGCCAATCAAAAACCATTTGTAATTTGCACTGGTGTTAAAAATTTGCACTCGTGTTACAGGAGAACTGCACTCCTTCGTCAGCCAATCAGAATTGAGTATTTTTTTGTGTATACTATTAGGTCTGTAATCATACTTGTGATTACACAAATCGAATCCCGCTACACACGCAGGGTCAGCTGTCTCAAAAAAGTCGTCATTTAGTTACCGCAGTCACACCAGTGGTCTTACCAAAAAAAAATGGCGGCCAGAAGACGTTTCTCATGCGAAGAAGTAATTGTACAAGTTTTGGTGGAGAGTGTAGAAACCGAGGAAGATGAAGGCCCTGAAGTTAGTTTAAATGATACTTTGGAGACGTTGACAAGCAATTTTACTGCTCTTTGGCATTCTATTTCCAATTACACCCATTTTAGGGAGGAAGCTTGTCAGCTAATGCTGAATGTCTACCACCGACATGAGGTTGGGGTGCATGGGATGGATAAATCTCTAATGTCTTCCCTCCTGGCGTGCCCTTTGATCACATCAGAGGTTCTGATCTGGCTGAACAGGATAAGAATGCGGATGTCGGCAAACCCGAAGGCTTCCAATCCATGGACTATAGAGGTGAAGCGTGACCTCCCCCAAGAAATAGTTTTAGTGAAGTCTGTGCAGGGGGCGCTTTCAGCTTTTGGGGTGTCAGTGGAGGACAATGTGATTAAATACACTAAAAAAAATCGTCTCCTCCGCGATTTCTCGAAGTTTTGTGGCATCCCTCAGAGTGAAGTCGCCAATAAACTTAAGAAAAGCTTTGGCGGGAACCGGAAAGGTTTTAAAGCAGAGTTGCTTGCGAGCAGGGAANTTCCCCCCTTTTTTTTTTTTTTTTTTAAAAAAAAAAAAAAAATTTTTAAATTTTTTTATTTTAGGGGGGGGATTAAGAAGGGGGGGGCGGGGGTGTTCCCCCCCCCCCCCCCGAGATGACCTGCGGTTTTCTAACACAACTGGTATTCTGCCAAAAAAAACTATGTGGTTTATTGGTGTTGAAGTAGAGCAAGAGACGAGTGCACCCCCTCCTCGGTGATCCGCCCCTGAATTTTGTTACCAATGCATTGTAACTGATGAGCTTGTCTTTCTGCCCCAAAAGTGCCTGTTTCTAAGTAGCAGAAAAGTTATGCCGCAAAATCAGAAATTTGCGGGCATCACTTCTTGTTTCTGAAGTGGAGTACGTTGTAAGACTGTTGTATCATCTCTTTGCTCATATTTTTGCACCAGATAAAATTCTACAGAATCTGGGGCAAGGTGATAAGTGTTTTTCTTCTTTGTTTTTTTCAAGAAGTTGGAAGTCTGTTACTTCTGGGGCCGGAGGAGTCTCTTACAAGATTTCCAATGAACAATAATTACAGTGACCGATAGCCACTGCTCCCTAGTAAAGCAATATTTTATTCTAATAATTCTCATTATTGGTGGATCTCAGTGAAGATACTAATACATCTATTGGTCACTAGGAATCTTTGTTGTTTCTTAGAATACACATCCACGAAGCAAGGCATATGTTCATGCTGTTTTTTAAGTGAAACTGTGAAAACTATAAAACAATAGTCATAGCTCACCAGGGGTTTAATCAGTCACAGCAAAATACCCAGAAACATGTAGGTGTTCACAGTACAAGAATGACTTTTCCTAAAGCACCTACAAATATATCACTGACTGTTAAATCCAGAGGGGCTGGGCTGAGATTTCATCGTCAATGAATGTTCGTTTCCCAGGGTTGTTATCTCACATAATAAAGTGCTTGCCTGACATCAAAGTATACCTTTCTTAGACATCTTGATCTTAGGCTGTGCTGGGGGGACAAACAACTGGGTCAAATATGTAAACCGCAACCCACCTTCTGAGAATCTGCAAAATACATTTTTCATTGCTAATATTTACAGATGATTACAGTATATAATATGTGTAACGTTTCAAATATCTCAAGGAAACACTCGAGACAACTCTGAGACAACTCTCACAGTGGCCACTATTCAGTACATTATGGCCTGTTAAATCACTGTAAAGTTACATAAAATGCAGTTGTGTGCAGTCATTTGTCACTCAACAGATTATAAAAGAAATGCTGAAGTTTCTGAAGCAAAAACAGATAACAGCTAATTGCGAAGATCACATGCTGTTTACTTACCCCAATAATGTGGTGGCTGCAGTTGATGCTTCATGTAACTTTACCTTTTCAAGATTTTAAATACTTTCCTAAACTAAGATAATCCTGCAACAATTGTCCCTTCTTTTACACTTTTATGGATTAGTGTAATAAGATGATCACCACATAAACAACAGCTTTGGTCAGCAGGATCAGCTTTATGTAGTCCACAGTAACAATAGTTACTGTCATTAAAAACCCTTTGGAGAATGTAAGCATTTTTACTAGGAGTGTAAGAACAAGGTTCATGATGCTGTTCAGGTAACCAAAGTAACATAATAAATTCATTCCTGAAAATTGGGAAATTAAACGAGACTTACCTGTAAGTTGAAGTTTGATTGAGATTCTATCACATGACAACAGAAGGCGAGAGATCACATGAGATAGCACAGCGCTTGCGCAAGTCATTCTTAAAAGACACGTATTGGGCCCGTCAACATAGTATCAAATGGCATACCCGAAAGCACAAACAAACAGGGTGGGTATGATAGCGGAGGGCATGTGATCTCTTGCCTTCTGTTGTCATGTGATAGAATCTCAATCAAACTTCAACTTACAGATAAGTCTCGTTTAATTTTCCAATTCTATCACATGACCAGAAGGCGGAGATCCCATGAGACTTCAGGGGGTTGATGCGCCCATGCGATAGGCCCAACGAGAGGTGCAGATAACGCAAGGCCATATGCAGAGTAGCCTCTGGCAAAAGCAACCCCAATAATAAACACAATATAATACAACAGTGGTTTTTTTTTCCATATATAAACTTGCTAATTTTGCTAATCCCGACCAGGTCCAAAGTAGACATGACAAAAGGCCTAGTGTGGGCTAGCGCCCAGAACAGCAGAGGCCACACTGTCTTCTTGAATAACAGTCTTATTGTAATATTTATGAAAAGTCTCTTCGGATTTCCAGCCAGCCCTGGCCATGATCTCGTGAACAGGGACATCTTTGGCACTGGCTTTTGAAACGGAGGCTGACCTAGTGCTATGGGCAGAGAACACTTTGGTATCCACCCCACAAAGGTGGAGGGTTTCTTAGTCCACCTGGAAATTGTGTCCCTGGAGACAGGTCTATGTGGGCTAACATAACTAACAAATAATTTTGTTTCATCTTTACGCAAAACTTTTGTGCTGTCAATATACGCCTTAAGGCAAGTGAAAGGAGAAATGGAAACATCCGGCTCATATCTAGCTATTTCGATTCTTGTATTGGGGTTCCTTGGACTACTGGTCTTCATGTGTTCATCTATGTCAAATATGTATTTGTCCTCTTCCACACAAAGGTGCTTAAGATCTAAAGAGCGTACAGTTTGTCCTCGTTGACTCGAGACTAGTAAGATTAACATGAGAACTTTATACGTCAAATCTTTCAATGCCAATTTGTTATACGGGTATAACGTAGACAAATGTTTCAAAACTACTGCGACATCCCAAATCTTCATGTACTTAGGTTTTGGTCGCTGTGATTCAAAGACTCCTTTCATAAATCGAGTTACAACGCAATTAGTACCGAAAGACTCCCCACCTTCCGTTATAACAATTGCAGAAAGAGCAGAGCGTGCAGTGTTTAGCGCGGAATAACTCAGTCGTTGATTAAATAGTCGTACAAGAAAGTGGAGGGCTTCATTTAGTGGTGGTTAATAGTAAGCAATCTTCCTCTCACCGAAAAACGCCATCCATTTGTTAAGATAGGTTTGGTACTGTTTCTGCGTGCCTGACCTCCAAGAGGCCATGGGCACATCAGTAACTTCTTCTGAAAAGTTGTAGCGGCTGAAGGCTCCCCTGACACAGGACATACCATTAGGTGGAGTTTCTTGTGCAGCGGGTAGGGTCGACTGTGTGAGGGGTGTTTCAGAAGATCCGGGCTCGGAAGCAGAATCCAAGGTTAATCGCACAGGTATTGTAGCAGGAGAGGGAACCGCTTCTGTGTTGTCCAAAGAGGAGCAATGAGTATTCTGTGCGCTCTGTCCTGTCTGATTTTCTGTAAACATTTGGGGAAGAGGCTGAAAGGTGGAAATGCATAAAATTTGTTACCACTCCAAATCATAGTAAAAGCGTCGATGTGGGCACAGTGTGGATCT